ACACACACACACACACACACCAACGCCTACGCTCATGCACCACAATGCACATATAACGACCAACTTTGAATTGTTCTGTAAAAACAAGCCTCGGCTCCAGTTATTATGATTACTGCCAGTCAGAGCAGTTGTTTAGGCTGTAAGTCACACAGACGGACCTGATCTCAGTCTCAGCTGTGGAAAGTGTAGACAGAACATTTTATCACACTGGCATAGCTGGGCTTTCTTTGCACCCAGAGGGCCACGGCCACAATTGAAGGATGTGCAAAAAAATAGAATACAGACGGATATGAGCACAAGCTGCAAGTCATCAAGACGTTGACGGTGTGAAAAATTTGTGGTTGTGTCCTCTTAACGTTATTTGCCATCTGTGTCCACTTCAGTGACAGTCCACACTGTGAGCCCCCCCTTGTGGAAGAGCCTGCGCCTGACACCGTCTCTGTCAGGAACAACAGTGAAGATGGTGAATAACACACACACACACATTGTCACCATTTTATGAGATCTCACCCTGCTTTACTCACCAGTTACTCTGGCTGTAACCTTTAAATCCAGTAACCTGGTTATTATGCTGCTTTGTTACTGCTCAGCATTTTTTTAACTGTTGCACTGTCACCATATACAGCAGCACTAACCTGCTATGCACTAATCTGGCTTCCACCTCTTTTCTTTTTCTCTCATTTGTTGCTGCCGTCGGCTTCTCTGTCACTTCCTGTCTCTGTCCACCATTCTCTGAATCTCAGGATCCTTGACTGTTTCAGAGTCCGACCCGATCGAGGCCATAGCTCGGTTTGATTACTCCGGACGGACAAACCGAGAGCTGTCGTTCAAAAAGGGTGCCTCGCTGCTTCTGTATCAGCGAGCCTCTGATGACTGGTGGGAGGGACGGCACAATGGAGTGGATGGACTGGTGCCACACCAGTATATTGTGGTCCAAGACATGTAAGATGTGTTCCAGTCAATTCAATATCTGAGCAAGGAAGATTATGATAATAATGCAGATGATTTATCCTTTTTTTCTGTTTCTACATCGCCAACATTGGTATTAATAGAAACGCAAGTTCAGCATCAAGCTTTATTACTTTGCTCACTGAGTAGAAGGCAACAACAATATAATATAGTATCACGTCATTGTTTCTACTGAAGTTAGCAGCTAGTTGCTAACCAGTTAGCCCTGGCCCATCCCAGCTGCTGTATTTTGTGATAGTGAGTCACTGTCTGCACTAAAGAAATCATCTTTCTCAGAAGACATAATAACTTTCTTGGAAATGCAATGATGGATGAAGCTCTTGGCAAGCGACCATCACCAACAGCCACGCCCAGCAACACACTGTTTGGTAGTGGGGAAAAATTACGTACAGCATTCGCAAGGGAAACACAGTAGCTGTCAACCTGTGTCTTATTTTTCATGAATATTGATCTCGACAATATTTCCTTACCATGTATGAAGCACAGTTTTGGGAAGTACAAACTCTGGGTAAAGAGCCTTCTACAAAAACATGAACAGAAATAATCTCCAACCCTAGTAAGTAAGTAGACACAGAAGGTAGTCCACTGGAAATCCCTGTAACTCAGGAATTGAAATTTGCATATCATTTTCTTTTCAGCTGTCATGTTCATTCAGGTAGACGCTCCTGTTTCTACAAGTGTCTGCATTTTCACAGCTGTGTGTATGCTGTAAAGTAGCAAACACAAGAGGGATGGTTTCAATCCCCAAATATCCCACCTGAAAAATTATGAAGTGAACACAACGCTGTGACTCATGTGTCTGATTTCTGTACAGCTGCTTAGTAGAGGACTACGGTAACTACAGGGATTTACTGCGGAATAGCTTCTGTGATTCTGCCTGAAACAGTGTGTGAGGCTCAGTTGTTGGTCTACACTGTGTGAGTAAAAAAGTTATCTTGACCATCTGTCATAACAGACAACACCCCCTCTAAGTTGCCACTGCTTTTCTATTGGGTCATGTGAGGGTTTGTGTTTAAATTATTCATGTAGTGCAGCAGAGAAACGGTTCAATCACAGCTCTTTCGTAAGTCATTTTTCTCTGGCCTGTTTGGATAGAGTTGTCAAGAGTACAGTACAGAGGTTTCTAATTCAAATTTAAGTGGCACAAAAGCCAGCTTTGACTTTCACAACAATTTGTAAAGTACAGAACGATCGTTTCAGGTCTGATGGAGGTCGGGGAAGTCCAAAGCCTGATGTCGACTCCAGGGACCTGCTGGAGGAGAGGGTCTCCACTAGAGGGAGCGCTGCCTCTCCTACTGGAGCTCATGTGGCTGACATCTACCTGGCCAACCTGAACAAGTGTGTAGCAGTTTAATTTAAACAGTAAAAATCAATTAAGAGCCAAAAAGTGTGCAAGCATACAAAAAACTTCGACTGATTCCCCAAAACCATAAAAATGTTTTCATTGTATTTTTCACACTTTTTGTCCTTTGATTGGATTGATATGCTCAGACAGGCGCACACACACAGCTCACTGAAATAAATCACAGCATCACAGTCAGTCATAAAAAATATGACTCAAATATCTGTCTCCTCCAGGTTGAGGAAGCGTCCGGAGTCTGGGAGCATTCGAAGAACATTCCGGGGATCAGAGAGCGACAGTACCAGTCCTGGCACCAGCGGAGGGGGAGGGGTAAGAACAGCATCCCTTCCGGTCGGCGGGGCTCTGGTGAAAGAAACTGGAGACAAAAGACCCGTCAGCGCTCACAGCATCCTCAACTCAGTCACTCGCCATTCCTCACTCAAGACCAAGGTACTGTTGCGTCTAAATACGCATTCGACAAATGAATGTGAAACTGATGAGGCTTAAATTGAGGCCTTTATGAACATTTAGGTGGAGAGTCCGCAGTTAAAGAAGACAACTTCAGCCGGACGCTCCAAGAGCTTCAGTAACCACAGACCACTGGACCCAGAGGTCATCGCCCAGATAGAGCACAGCTCACAGGTACTGCTCTCACTTCACTCACTCAACACCCTGTCTATCCTACGTTTGTGTGTTAACTGTGTGTGTGTCTGTTGCAGGACATCGATGTGTCCATGAGCTCTGCCCTGAGTGAGCTCAGTAGGTCAGAGAGGCAGAGCACTTCCAAACATACACACACCCCCGACGTGGTCCTGGACACACTGGAGCAGCTGAAAGGCATGAGTGGAGGTGGCGGTGGCGGAGGAGGTGCCTCGGAGCCCTCCAGTCCGCTCCACACCCGTCTACTGCGGGATGGTGAGGGCAGCTCCTTGCACGCTCACCCACTCCAGCGCAGCGCCTCGTCCGCCAGCGACGTACCCTCCTCCTTCCGGCCCATCAAGAGCCAGCCGCGGAGCCCCCTGCCCTCTGCCACATCCCCCTCCCTGTCCTCCTCCTCTCTCTCCTCCTCCGTACCTTCCTTCAGAGAGCTGCGCCCGCCGGCGACAAGACCAAAGCCGGTGGTTTTCCCAAAGAGCGGTGGAGGGAGTCCAGCGATGGGCTCTCCGACATCCACTGTTCCCCCAACACCTCCACTTCCACCTGCAGGCCACACACACTCACTCCCTCACACTCCTCCTCCTCCTCCTCCTCCTCCCCCTCCTCCCCAGTCCAATGACAAATCCTGCCCAGCTTAGAACCGCTCGACCCGAACAACAACACTGATCCGTACAGACTCTTCTACCAGGTTGTAGAGAGTACTACATTTGTTTCACATAAGAGCCCTAACCCACTACTCGTGTGTAGCATTCACTTCTTGTTGTGCAGGCGAATGATGCCTTGTTCCCTTTTGAGCGGTTTTCCCCGCCCTGTTCTGGCAGCTCCTGAAACTGTCACAAGGTGTAGGTCAGTTAACACCCTTCAAACACACTGGTTTTGTCTCTGTCGCCACAGAGATTCCAGTGATTCACAGGATTTTAAAATCCTTCATAAGGGAACGGGACTCAGGATGAACACCTCGAGCACCTGGACCTTACATACATTGGTTTGTGACGTGATGAAAATTGTGTTTGAGTGGGCATGCAAGAGTGCTACCTGCCTTTACACACAGAGATCCATGTAAGGAACAAAAAGCACAGTTTGATTTTTTGTATAGTAGATACGACGGTTTTTTTTCTCTTCTTAATGACCCCATGACTAGCGGACTGGAAGATTTGATTCCTGAGAGTAGACTGTGAAATGCTTAGTTCTCGCTCTGTGTAGAAATGACACACTGACTTGCTGCTTCAGAAGACTGGGGAGAAACGTGGATGGTGAAAGAAAACTGGGCCAAATATCAGTGTAAGTCATGTGATCAAGAGTTTTATTTGACTTTTTTTTTTCCTCCAGTGTTTGATATGTTGGTGATTTTTTTTAAAATTACTGTTCAGTACTAGTACCACAACAGGAGCATAACGGTGCAGTTATTCTCCAATATACTTTAATGGCCAACAGTAATTCTAAATCCATATATAGCAATAAGAAAAAAAAAAGAGGAAGCTGGTATTTTGAAGCATTCTGCTGCTTCTCTCCTGCAGTCTTGTTATGTGTGTAGGGGACCACTGAAACCCAGCATTTTTATATGTGATGTTGGACTGTGCACACACTCGCATACACATGTTTTCCAAGTCGGTGTGTGGTAGTGTTTCGTGGCAGCTAAACGCCCTTTCAGGTTTTCCTCGCATGCTGGGGCCACACAGACGGCTGCCACAGTGGCGAGCTGGCTGGTTGCATCAGTCTATGTATCCGCAGTACCAGCTTCAAACAAAGACCCAGCTTGCTCCTTTAAATATATACTTAACAGAAAAAAGGGTTTTTATTATTCTAATGGTGTGTATGTATGTTTAATAATCTATAACTGGAAGCATGGAGCTGAGGATCCGCCACAACCAACCACCTCATCCAGTGAGCTCTGAAGCAACGTTTGTTTTTATTACTACTTTTTTTGTTTATTAATGATCAGAATAGGTTATGGTATAATGTGGAGCTGTGGGTGTGCGCCTGTTTGAGCATGTGTGGAGTGTATAAATCTATATATATATATATATGCACCTCACCACAGCCTTGTTCCACTCATCATAAAGGGATGCTACCCAACAGCAGCAGCTGCCCGCAGATTCACAGGAAAAATGCACGTCTCTCTTCTGGAGTACCAGCAGCCTGAGTAAATATGCACTGTGTATGTGTGATCAGGTAAAAAAAAAAAAAAAAAAAGCCTGCAGGGATACATGAAACGTTGTCTTTTCTTCAGTTACTGCTGTAACACCAGTGGCAGCCCAGCTTTACCTAGAAACAGGATGAGGAATTCCGACTCCAAGGACTCAAACAGACTCTTCTTTTTTCCTGGTATTATTTGGTGATGGAAAATGCGATATGTTGTAATTTTTTTTTAATATTAACTTCAAATGTGGAGATATAACATTCAGGGTAAACTGAATAAAGCCTTTTTTTTCATTGTATTTCACTTTCTTGAGAAAGTATTGAACTAATTGTTGCCCTGGTGTTCCCTTTAATCACACTTTTCCCTCCTCCACAAGTGTTTCCCCAAGAATACAGCACATACTGCATTTCTGTATATGCTCTTCACCAGGTAATGAATTATAATTGTTAAACGTTTTGTTTTTCTTAATCTCTGTATACTGTTTGTGTATCACCTGGTATATTTGTGTTGCTCTTACCTCATCGTGACAACTGGAGGGACTGTGACCGTGCAAGTGTTTGTGGTCAACGGGCTCACACACACTCATACGTAACAGACACGCATGTGGGTGGTTGGTGTGTTTTGTCCTGGCTGTGCTGTCGAGAGGAGCTGGGACCCTCTGCGATCTCAAATCAATCATGCACTTGAACAACTTTTGCTTGTGTGTGGACTAACTGTGTGGGGATGATTTGTTGGAGTTGAATATTGTTAAATATGCATTTTTTTGTGTCCATTTGAAAACAGCAGAACTAAAAAAAACAGACTGTAATGTCAAATCTATTTATAGTTGTCTCTGTATTATTGGAGAATCCTGTGTTCAGATGTACTTTGTATATACAATGTTGTACATTACAGAGGTACACTCTTTTTTTGGTACAATATTGTACAGTAATAGCAATAGTAGTTTAATCAAATAGGACTTATATAATTCTATGTGTAGTTCTTGTAGTAGATTTGTTTTTTAATAAACATTGCTTGCTATAAAGAGCCTCAATTTGTTTGTTTGTTGCAATGAAAGTGTCCATCAAATATTGATTAAAAAGCAATATAGTGTAGTCTGTCTGTCGTAAAGATGATATATTTCTAATATTGTTCGCACAAGTTATTATCTAGTGGGAACAAGATAAATAAGTTCTGTGCACAAAGTTAAAATCTGCGTAGTAAAGACATGACTGGCCGATGCTTTGAAGACAACACAAGTTGCGTCTATAGCTTTTAAGAGTTTGTTAATTTTATTATTATATTATTCATTATAATTGAAACATAGTTCTCCTGTGGGCTGGGCTTGTTTTCCTTCAGTATGTGCAGCAACTGATTCCTGACAATCCTCTGTCTCTGCAAGAGCAACAAGAATTTCATCGTATGACTTTCCCAGGTGAAAATAAATTTGATTTGCTCAGCTTCCTCCATGCTATGGTACGAATCTGGTGGCTGTGTACGTCTGAGTGATTAAAACACAAACATCTTATTAGATCAAATATATTGTGTGTAGAAAATAAAATAAATATCTTTTGGGGGCTCCGTAAATCTGCATGTGAGACATAATAAATGTTTTAGCCAAAAGACACAAGAAAAGTGCAAATTGAGGGTTTTTATTAAACATGTTATTAAATCATTAACCATTGGAAACAACAGGTGTTTTTCAACATGTCTGTTGATTTCTCAGCGAATAATTCACGGATTTTGATAAAACTAATTGTTCATGCATAGTGAACTGATATTTACAAGTGTATGCAGTTTGGTACAGAGTGGGTCGAGTGTTTTAAATGTTGTTTTTGCCATATGAGCATGGACTCTGAGTGCCATTCTAGACTTTTATGTCGTAATTTTGACTTACCATTATATGATTATGACAAATTATCTCACAACTGTGACTTTGACATCTCATTATTGTGACATATTTCTTTATAATTATGACATTTTATCTCATAGTCTTGACTCATCTCTCAATGTGAGATGTAAAGTGATATATATTTATGTGACATATAAAGTGATATATAATGAGACATATAAAGTATGTATATAATGTGTATATAATACAACCTGTAATGTGAGTGTATCTGTCAGTAACAGTGCAGTGGGGCGTTCAGGGACAGTGGGGCGTTCAGGGACCGTTTGTTTTTTCAGTTTTTCAGGGACTCTAAAACAGTTTGTGCTTTGGTGTATTTCCGCCTTCATCTGCAGACTCCGCTCCGTGTCACACACACACACACACACACACACACACACACACACACACACACACACACACACACACACACACACACACACACACACACAC